ATACGCTCGAACTTGATCTTCTCCTTTTCACTTTCGCATTCTCTTTGTGCATCACGAATGGCCTGACCAAGATCATCAGCGGACTCATCTTCTACCACTACCTCTTCTTCTGCTTCCCCCATTGCAGTCTCATTGAAGGCACCATATTCAGCAATAATGTCATCATCGTCCCATTGTTCTTCTTCACCTTCTTCCACTACAACCCCGGTTTCTCCGTGCTTCGTCCAACAAATATAGTTTGGCATGAAACCCGACTTCAACAAGTGTGAATAAAGACTCCTTGAGCTAGCATATTCCTTCAAATTCTTACATATGGCACATGGGCAGCACATAAAACTATCGCGTTTGTTTGCCTCGGCCACACATAAGAACGAATGCACGCCCTCAATGAACTCTTGGGAGCGGCGATCAGCATTGTACATCCAAGGCCGGCTCATCTGCATTACATGACATACATACCATATTAAAACCTAGAACATAATTAGTTAATTATACGACATGCATGCCACCACATAAGGTATTAATTTATGAAAGTCTCGCTACAATGTAGACAATCCCAACTACCACTAAAAAACTAAAACTAAAATGCACTTCAGCAGTATAAGGATTTCGCGACCAATCTCAACTAAAACAGACAGATCATGCGTTTGTTAAACATCTATGGGCTTCTTCCGCAGGATCACTGCCTCATCAACCGCCGTAGCCGCCTGTGCAAGAGAGTTTTGCACGTGTTCAACATGCTCTTCCTCCTAGTACCAGCCTGAACATCCAATGCCATCCCACTAAAATTAAAATAAAAAATTAGAACATTAATCACAATCATCATAAAAATAAGTATAAATTAACCATAATCATCAAATGCGACAAAATAACTCACATTGCGATCCGGACACTTGTAGAAGATACGACCCTTGTTGGGACACTCCTTCCTCACCCGGCACTCCATCACAATCTTCTCCTCACACTTGCCGCATGCAATGAGAGGGTGGTCCGACCTCAGTCGCTTTAGAACCCGATGAGAGGCCGAGGACCCGGAAGCAGTTGACATCTACTCTCTATACTCATTTTTAATATAATATAAATTTCTCATTTTATAAACAAATAAAATTAAAAAAACTCTAAAATTCTCTATATCTCTAAACCATGAAGTGTGCTATGCATGCTAGAAATGAAAGCTGAATACTAGTTTTGAATAACTACTTTAACCTTCCTTCATCCAAATATGCAAACTTTAAAGTGATTTTGAGCTTAAATGGCTTACAAATAAAAGAATCCATCATAAAAAACCATATATATCTAGTCTACAAAATGAGATATGCTACTGATGAAACATGAGAGTATAAAGTTGGTAACCTTTAGAACCGAAGAATCGATGGAGGAATTGAAGAAATCTTGTGATTACCGGTGATGAGGAAGAAGAGAGGCCGGCGATGAAGCAAGAACACTGAGCTCGAATTGGCTCGGGCTCGGGGAGGAAGAAGGGCTATATAGGAGGAGACATTTAGTCCCGGTTGGAAACAGAAACCGGGACTAAAGGTCCCTTTCTTGTCCCGTATAGAGCCTCCAGCCGGGAGTAGACTTTTACTCCCGGTTGGAGGGACCAACCGGAGTAAAAGTTAACCTTTAGTCCTAGTTGGTAGCTTTAACCAAGACTAAAGATCCCCTGCAGCAAAAGCCTGCCGCAGTAGTCTTTGGGCAGGGACCTTTAGTCCCGGTTGGAGCTACAAACCGGGACTAAAGGTCTCTCTAATCCTGGGCGCGAAAAATACCGGGACTAAAGCCAAATTTTGAGCTGGATCAAAGGTCGTTTCTCTACTAGTGGTCCCTTTCACACTTTTTTATTTCTTCTATTGGTAATTGACATTGCTCTGCAGCAATCAGATACGAAGACTACCATCAGGGTGTACAATAGTGTCTGCTTCTCCTTACAGTGGTCACGAAGCCATTGACACCAGTCAGTTAGACTTCTTCTCTGCACTGCTTTGACGACTGCCAAGAGACATTCACCCCGCTCCCTCTTTACTGGTGGCTTTGATTTCCTTCCATCTCTAGGTTTAGTTCAGTGAGCCTGTCTGGTTAGTAGAATGTATACATGCTTCTCCTGATTTGTTGCTTAATTAATGCACAATGTGTAACATGATGCCTACGAGATATTTGATCAGGGGATGAACACTTAATATGTGAATCAATGTCAGTTAGTGTAATATCCATACATGCTTTCCATCATGTATGATTTTATCGTGCCTACAATTCGTTGACAGAACTTTTTTCCATTGAAACAAGTTACTTTTTGTCTCTTGCATTTAGGTTGCATTGCTGTGCCACATATATCAATGAGATACTAAGCAACGAAGATATAGGGTATGTGATCCATAGACTAATGCATATTTTCAATATATACACCTATACCAAGTATTTCATCATTACTGGCATGTGCTCTATATAGTGCTTCCTCTTAACCGTGGCACACCCAGTAGTAAAGGAGCAATTAGATGGAAAACAAGAGGAAATGGCTAGAGTCGGAAAGTTGCTTACATTGCCTTAGTGCAAAAACTTAAAATACCATTTTTGCGACATTATCAATGAATAGAGAAGAATTGGATTATTTTTTAGCTAGGAGATGCAAGGTGAGCAAGTAGATGGAGTAGTTAACAATAACAAGTGGACGAATGATTAGATGGTTGAGATGATCGCTCATGCGTAATATGGGTATGACCTGATCATCATGGCTCATGCATGCTTGCCAGTAACCAACTTAACTTCCCTTGCATGTCACATCTCAACTAGGCCATCAACGAGCAGAGCTCTAAATTTTTGTGTGGTAAATTGGGTGAAATCATACTAGTGAAAGACGTGTACAAGACGGAAAAATGGACTTAAATTTAAAAGGTGCGATGATACAAGATGAACAACATTTTTTGGTTGAGTCTGAATGTTTAGGGCTCCTTTTGAAACGCATGTACAATTTCACATGAATTAGTTTATTTTTCAGAGAAAAAACATAATAAGAAACGGTAAAAAATCCCATATTCCTAATGGGGCTTTAGTATTGTGAGCGAACATAATATGATTTCATTGAAGAATATAGTAAGAGACAAGTGGATTATCACACCTACTATAAGAAAAAAAAAACTTGTGACGAGTAGTGGATCCATGGTACCATAAAAACTGTACTCGAATTCGGCAGCCTTCCTCCACCGTGCGGGCGCAGCTCCAACCCTCCGCCAGACGGGCGCGTTGCCCCGCCGTGCGGCCACGCGGGAGTGGCCCTGTCCGGGCACGCGGGTACGGCGGCGGTAGATCCGGCAGATGCGGTCTCATGTGCTCCCTCCTAGCTCCGCCACTAACAGACGCTATGTCACCCGCCTCCCTCCGCCACCGACGAGAGCGAGGTTGCAGGCTCCATCCCCGGACGCCCGCCTCCCTCCGCCGCCGTTGGGAGCGGCCTCATGTGCTCCCTCCCTGCTCATGCAGACAGGTTCCCTCCCGGCATTGCCTAGTAGGAGGAAGAAGAAAGAGACAACGACAAGTAGGTCCCGTCTGTCATTCTCTACCATAGTAGATTTGGGGGACCAAATTTTGGTGTTGCCGTTGGAGTGGAAGTAAAAAAAATTGAGCCAACAAAAGTAGGGGAGCACCCAAATTAAAAGTGGGGGCAGGCCTAATTTGAGTGTCCTTGCTGGAGTTGCTCTAATGAAATAATCCAAACCAAACCAAACCATATGTTTGATGAGGCAGCCCATTTGGTACCAAACAAAATGGGTCCAAAGGCAAAACTGACTCATTGAAACCATACTAGTCCATATATCTTTTGGTAGATGCCACCCCTAAACCTACTGACTCTGCCTTCCTTGAAGCTTGTTTTGCTGCTTGTTCTCTTCAGCTTGAGGTTGATTTCCTTGAGACTGCGAGGTTTCCCTAAACTGATTATGCTCTTTGACTCTGTTTCTGAGGTTGTCTTTAGACCTGTAGTAATTGTCAAACTCGTATAAATCTTCAATGGTTAGGGGCTTCTCCCTAGCCGGATATCATACAAAGGGTTCAATCGAGAGCCCTTTTATGACAGCTTCTATTGCCACTTCTTCCGAGACATTTGGGGCTCTTGCCTTGACGTGTCCTGATCTTTGGTAGTACTGCTTGAGTGATTCCTTCGACTGCTGCTTGCACTAAAACAGGTGCGACGATGTAAGGGCCGGGAGTCACTTTGCAAAGCCTTGGAAATTTGCTACAATTTTGTGACGGAGGTTTTCGAAGAGTATACAAATTTTGGCTTGAGCAAGGAGTACCAGGCCAATGTGTCTGCCCTCGACTGCTACGACGAAGGATTTGGCTAGGACGGTGCCGTTTCCTCCTGCCGATATTATTGCTCGAGGGATGTAGTTAAAAATTCGACAAAACATGGCCTTCAAATTCATATGCTTGAGTGCACGGCTGTCCCCAGAGTTAATGATCATGACTCTAAAGTTTTATCCTGAAAATCAAGCTCTAACCGGGTTCACCTAAAGTTCTCCGTGAAAATATTAATTTAATCATGTACAATAAAACTTCTTTTAAATTTTGTTTAGGTTCTAAAATAATTTTTCAACAAGGGTTTCACAGTTGGTAATTTTGAACGTAGCTTATTTACAAGCAATTGGAATTTCTGTGCATAATGTTTTTTAAATTGCTAACAGTAATACTATGATTAGGGTGTCCGGACGCCGGACACTACGTGGCTTCACGTCGTTCACGTATTAACAAATATCTGATACTCTCACGCCGCCTAAAAAAAACCCATGCCGCAAGCTGCCAGCAACAAGCAGCATGTTCTGCTTCTGCTAGATCCAGTCTACTTCCACTCTCCCCAAGTCCTGCAGTCGAAGCATCGCCGATCAATGGCGTCTCCGCCCTACTCAATCGAGGGCCGGACCCCGGTGACTCGCCGCGGCCCACCGCCACTCTCCTCTCCTCCTATGTGGCCGCACCCCAACCCTCATTCGGCGCCCGCCTCCTACTCCTCCTCACCGTGGCCCTTGCTGCTGCCACACGGCCGTACTCCAAGCTCTCCCCAAGCCCATGGTGTTCCTCATATCCTTGGATGGCTTCCACTTCAGTACCAGTACAAGGTCCCTCTCCCGCACATCCGCCGCCTCATCGCCGGTGTTGGCACCGACGTCCTCCTCAACACCTCCTCCTGTGGCTAGAGATGGCAAGGGCGTTGTGGCCATGCCATACTTCGCGACCGCCTCGAGGCTTTGCCTGACATGGTGGTTGCAAGTGTTTTAGGGGTTTCATATGTAAGTTGCAATTTTTTCATGTGTCTGTTGCAAAAGTAGATCGGGATGTTGCACATGTTGCAATGGCTATACACGTATGTTGCAAGTGCCTGTTCCAAATATTTCATTTGTTTTTTCAGACGTACGTTGTAAATGTGTTTATTTGGATGTTGCATATATTTCACACATATCTTACAAGTGTTTTATCTGGATGTTGCATATAGTTTTGCAATGACTTTTCAAATGTTTTCAGATGTTTTTGTAAGTGATTCATATGTATGTTTCAAGTATTTCATCTGTCTTCAGACGTATGTTGCAAATGTTTTATCCGGATGTTTTCAAAAATAGATCAGATGTTACTACTGGGACCCAGTTGGCGAAGAAGACGCCCAAGTGAGGGAAGTAGAGGGGATACGAGCGATCTCCGTGTGGGGTCAGGAGGCCAGGGCGATGATCGGACGGTCGTAGCCCCTATGTGGGCGTGCAAAACCGAATGTAAGCGCAGACGTCCGGACGCGCTCGTACGTCCGGATGTCCCGGTGCCGAGACTGCCGTTTTTTAAAGGCATGCCTTTTTTAAAACGCTGCGCGCTCGGAAACTAGATTTTCCGAACCTTTAATTAGTTAACCAAAGTTGGTTAATCAATATTGCTTCTGAACTCTGAAACTAAATCAAGATTCAGAATATTTTACCAAACTTCGAAACCTTGGATCTAAAAAACCTTTGATCTTTTCATGATGAACCTTAGAGCAATGTTGTAGAGCATGGATCAATGAACAACTTTTAGTAAGATGTATCATGTTGGTTATACACGAAGTTGAGAGTTAGAGAGGGTTGAACTGGCCGGTTTCAGTCATGGAGATGGAGCTCTGCTCCATCGACTGGCAGCACAGCAGCCTGCCTGCTTCACCGTCGGCCGCCGCCTTCCGCCATGCTCGCGCGCATGGACACGTAGCAGCTTGCGTGGCTCGATTCAAGAAGGAGCTGGCAACGTCCTCATCCTCACCTGCGCGCTCGACCTGGATAAGCCCCGCCGCCTTCCGTGTCTCTTTCTCCCATTCTCGCTCTGCTTTGTCTCCGACCGTCTAAGCGCCGGCCAAAAATCCGCCGCCGTCGAGCAACCCCCGTCCAATTCCTCCCGCCACCAGCTTCGCCGCGTCCTTGCGCATTCCCTCCACTCAATCTGGTCTCGTCGATGGTCGTCGCCAGAATCGTCCCAACGCCGTAGAAGTCGTCGCGGCCGTCTGCCACGGAGCGCCTGGCCGACACCAGCGCGCCTCCCATGGCGAGTGGGGCTGACCGAATCAGTGACCTCCCGGAGGACGTCCTCCACCACATCCTCTCGCTCCTGCCGGCGCGGGACGCCGTGCTCACGTGCGTTCGCGCCCAGAGCTGGCGCAACAGCTGGCGGTCCGCGCCCGCCGTTCGCTTCGCCCCCTTCGTCGACGGCCTGCTGCGCGTCCGCCGCGGGGGCCCGCGCCTGCGCTCCTGCGACTTCGATCTGGATGTGGTGGATCTGGACCCCTGCCGCTTCGATCTGGAGCTGCACGGCAACAGCTGGATCCGCCGCGTGCTGCAGCTCAATGTCCGGGAGTTCCGGTTCCGAGTCTCCTCCAACCTCTCCCGCAGGCCCTTCGAGCTCGACGATACGCCCCTCTCCTCCCAGCACCTCACGAGTTTGGAGCTCACGGGTGTCGACGGCATCGATCTTGATTTCTCTGGATGCCCCGCGCTGCAGAGTCTCAAGATGGAGGCGTCCCACGTTCGTTCGTTGGAAATGCGTTCCCCCTCCCTGAAGCATCTGAGTATCAAATACTGCTGCTTTTATCCCGAATGCCGCACTGAGATGTCGTTCCCCAGCCTTGTCTCGTTCGAGTTCATTACAAATTCCGGAAGGGCTCCAATCCTTGAAAGAATGCCGTACTTGGAAACTGCAAAAGTTCGATTCGATCATGATCATGTTTACGACGATCGATTGGAAGATTGTGGAGATGATGATTGTTGTTGTTGTTTTTATTACCATGGTCATCATGATTCCGGCAGCGGCAGCGTGTTTCTTCAAGGCTTGGCTGAAGCGACATACTTGAATTTGTCAGCTTATCCTGATATGGTATGCTCGCAGCTGCGTCCCCTGTTTTTGATTTTGCAATTGTTTTTATTACGCATGAGCAATTAGATGGAAAACAAGAGGAAATGGCTAGAGTCGGAAAGTTGCTTACATTGCCTTAGTGCAAAAACTTAAAATACCATTTTTTGCGACATTATCAATGAATAGAGCAGAATTGGATTATTTTTGAGCTAGGAGATGCAAGGTGAGCAAGTAGATGGAGTAGTTAACAATAACAAGTGGACGAATGATTAGATGGTTGAGATGATCGCTCATGCGTAATATGGGTATGACCTGATCATCATGGCTCATGGATGCTTGCTAGTAACCAACTTCCCTTGCATGTCACATCTCAACTAGGCCATCAACGAGCAGAGCTCTAAATTTTTGTGTGGTAAATTGGGTGAAATCATACTAGTGAAAGACGTGTACAAGACGGAAAAATGGACTTAAATTTAAAAGGTGGGATGATACAAGATGAACAACATTTTTTGGTTGAGTCTGAATGTTTAGGGCTCCTTTTGAAACGCATGTAAAATTTCACATGAATTAGTTTATTTTGTAGAGAAAAGACATAATAAGAAACGGGGAAAAATCCCATATTCCTAATGGGGCTTTAGTATTGTGAGCGAACATAATATGATTTCATTGAAGAATATAGTAAGAGACAAGTGGATTATCACACCTACTATAAGAAAAAAAAACTTGTGACGAGTAGTGGATCCATGGTACCATAAAAACTGTACTCGAATTCCGGCGGCCTTCCTCGCTCCGTCCCCCCCCCTCGGCCTTCCTCCACCGTGCGGGCGCAGCCCCAACCTCCACCACATGGGCACGTTGCCCCGCAGTGCGGGCACGCTGTGAGTAGCCACTGGCTGGGCACGCTGGTGCGGTGGCGGTAGATGCGACCTCACGTGCTCCCTCCTAGCTCCGCCACTAACAGGCGCTACCTCGCCTCGCCTCCCTCTCGCCACCGACGGGAGCGCGGCGTTGCAGCTTCATCCCGGACGCCCGCCTCCCTCCGCCGCCCCGTTGGGAGGCGGCCTCATGTGCTCCCTCCCTGCTCATGCAGACAGGTTCCCTCCTGGCGTTGCCTAATAGGAGGAAGAAGAAAGAGACAACGACAAGTATGTCCCGTCTGTCATTCTCTACCATAGTAGATTTGGGGGACCAAATTTTGGTGTTGCCGTTGGAGTGGAAGTAAAAAAAAAAATTGACCCAACAAAAGTAGGGGAGCACCCAAATTAAAAGTGGACCCGATTTGGGTCCCTAGCTGAAGTTGCTCTAATGAAATAATCAAAACCAAACCAAACCATATATTTGATGAGGCAGCCCATTTGGAACCAACCAAAATGGGTCCAAAGGCAAAACTGACTCATTGAAACCATACTAGCCCATATATCTTTTGGTAGATGCCACCCCTAAACCTACTGACTCTGCCTTCCTTGAAGCTTGTTTTGCTGCTTGTTCTCTTCAGCTTGAGGTTGATTTCCTTGAGACTGCGAGGTTTCCCTAAACTGATTATGCTCTTTGACTCTGTTTCTGAGGTTGTCTTTAGACCTGTAGTAATTGTCAAACTCGTTGTATAAATCTTCAATGGTAGGGGCTTCTCCCTAGGCGGATATCATACAAAGGGTTCAATCGAGAGCCCTTTTATGACAGCTTCTATTGCCACTTCTTCCGAGACATTTGGGGCTCTTGCCTTGACGTGTCCTGATCTTTGGTAGTACTGCTTGAGTGATTCCTTCGACTGCTGCTTGCACTAAAACAGGTGCGACGATGTAAGGGCCGGGAGTCACTTTGCAAAGCCTTGGAAATTTGCTACAATTTTGTGACGGAGGTTTTCGAAGAGTATACAAATTTTGGCTTGAGCGAGGAGTACCAGGCCAATGTGTCTGCCCTCGACTGCTACGACGAAGGATTTGGCTAGGACGGTGCCGTTTCCTCCTGCCGATGTTATTGCTCGAGGGATGTAGTTAAAAATTCGACAAAACATGGCCTTCAAATTCATATGCTTGAGTGCACGGCTGTCCCCAGAGTTAATGATCATGACTCTAAAGTTTTATCCTGAAAATCAAGCTCTAACCGGGTTCACCTAAAGTTCTCCGTGAAAATATTAATTTAATCATGTACAATAAAACTACTTTTAAATTTTGTTTAGGTTCTAAAATAATTTTTCAACAAGGGTTTCACAGTTGGTAATTTTGAACGTAGCTTATTTACAAGCAATTGGAATTTCTGTGCATAATGTTTTTTAAATTGCTAACAGTAATACTATGATTAGGGTGTCCAGACGCTGGACACTACGTGGCTTCACGTCGTTCACGTATTAACAAATATCTGATACTCTCACGCTGCCTAAAAAAAACCCATGCCACAAGCTGCCAACAACAAGCAGCACGTTCTGCTTCTGCTAGATCCAGTCTACTCCCACTCTCCCCAAGTCCTGCAATCGAAGCATCGCCGATCAATGGCGTCTCCGCCCTACTCAATCGACTCCAGCGACTCACTGCGGCCCACCGCCACTCTCCTCTCCTCCTCTATGGCCGCACCCCAACCCTCATTCGGCGCCCGCCTCCTGCTCCTCCTCACCGTGGCCCTTGTTGCTGCCACACGGCCGCGCTCCAAGCTCTCCCTAAGCCCGTGGTGTTCCTCATATCCTCGGATGGCTTCCACTTCGGTACCAGTACAAGGTCCCTCTCCCGCACATCCGCCGCCTCATCGCCGGTGTTGGCACCGGCGTCCTCCTCAACACCTCCTCCTGCGGCTAGAGATGGCAAGGGCGTCGTGGCCATGCCGTACTTCGCGACCGCCTCGAGGCTTTGCCTGACATGGTGGTCACCGTCCACTACAATGTCGTGCTAGATGTTGCAAGCATATGTTTCAAATGTTTCAGGGGTTTCATATGCAAAGTTGCAAGTTTTTCATGTGGCTGTTGCAAAAGTAGATCAGGATGTTGCACATGTTGCAATGGCTATACACGTATGTTGTAAATACCTGTTCCAAATGTTTCATTTGTTTTTTCGACGTATGTTGTAAATGTGTTTATTTGGATGTTGCTTATGTTTCACACATATGTTGCAAATATTTTATCTGGATGTTGCACATAGTTTTGCAATGGCTTTTCAAATATTTTTAGGTGTTTTTGTAAGTGTTTCATATGTATGTTTTAAGTATTTCATCTGTCTTCAGACGTATGTTGCAAATGTTTTATCTGAATGTTTTCAAAAGTAGATTAGATATTGCTGCTACGACCCAGTTGCCGCAGCAGGCGGCCGAGCGAGGGAAGTAGAGGGGTTGCGAGCGATCTTCGTGTGGGGTCAGGAGGTGAGGCTGATGATCGGACGGTCGTAGCCCCTATGTGGGCGTGCAAAACCGAATGTAAGCGCAGACATCCGGAGGCGCTCGTACGTCCGGATGGCGCGGAGACTGCCGTTTTTTAAAGGCATGCCTTTTTTAAAACGCTGCGCGTGTATCAGTTATCGTTGTTTAATCTTGCTAATGCTTTCTTGTGGTTACGGAATAAAAGAAATAAATAAATATGTAAATAATATATGAGTGTTTATATTATTGAAAAAACAGAAAAGAAAGGAATTTTCCGAGAAAAGAAAAAACGGAAAATACAGAACCCACAGACGCCACCACACAGACGCGCGCACACAAGAGCCGCCGCTCGAGAGCCCCAAAACGTGGAGAATCATGTGGGAAACAAAACACGGAGACACCAAACGTGAGGAACCACACTCACACCGTATCTTTCATCTCCGCCCTCCACGTCGCGGCGCACATCACCTGTTCGACGGAGCGACTGGCCGAGACCGGAGCGACTCTCATGGAGAGTGGGGCTGACCGAATCAGTGACCTCCCGGAGGACGTCCTCCACCACATCCTCTCGCTCCTGCCGGCGCGGGACGCCGTGCGCACGTGCGTTCTCGCCCAGAGCTGGCGCAACCGCTGGCGGTCCGCGCCCGCCCTTCGCTTCGCCTCCTCCACCCGCTTGGTCGGCGGCGCCGACGCGTTCCGCCACTTTGTCGACGGCCTGCTGCGCGTCCGCGACGGGGGCCCGCTCCTGGACTCCTGCGACTTCGATCTGGATGTGGATCAGGACTCCTGCGACTTCGATCTGGATCTGCAAGGCAACAGGTGGATCCGCCGCGTGCTGGAGCTGAAGGTCCGGGAGCTCCGGTTCCGAGTCTCCCCCCACTATCCCTTCAAGCTGGAGTATACGCCCCTCTCCTCCCAGCACCTCACGAGTTTGGAGCTCACGGGTGTCCAGGACAATGACGCTGTTCTTGATTTCTATGAATGCACGGCGCTGGAGAGTCTCAAGATGGAGCGGTCCCACGTTAGGTCGACGGAAATGCAGTCCCCCTCCCTGAAGCATCTGAGTATCAAATCCTGCTTCTTTGACGATATCCGCACTTGGATGTCATTCCCCAGCCTCGTCTCCTTCGAGTTCATTAATAATTTCGCAAGGGCTCCAATGCTTGAAACAATGCCGTGCCTGGAAGCTGCAAAAGTTCGATTAGATCATGGTTATGATGTTCGATGTAAAAATGGTCGATTGGATGGTTGTGGAGATGTTGCCTGTAGGGGTTGTTTTTATTACGAAGAAGGCAGCGTGTGTCTTGATGGCTTGGCTGAAGCTACATACTTGGATTTGTCAGCTCATCTTGATATGGTATGCTTGCAGCTGCGTCCCCTGTTTTTGGTTTTGCAATTGTGTTGACATGCATAGCTGTGTTCCTTTCAAATGCTCTGATTTCAATCAAACATCACCTGTGGTTGGTTGACGAGTGCCTTGCTAGATGCCTATATCATTAGTTCATTACTGAAACTTGTGTTCTTCTGCAGTTACTGATATTGTTGAACTGAAAATGAGAGACCTAGTTATTGATTTGTGATCTTAGATTCTGAATGTGTTGCTCAGATTAGAACACAGCGGATTGTTTTTGTATATATTAGTTTAGATGCACATCTACAACAGATATGAAGTCTAAACCTGTTTTTACCTGGCTTACTAACCAAGGATGTTTTTGAAGCTTGTAATATTTTTTCATGGTATTCATTATTTGACTTTACATACTTGTACTTTTCCTAGATTGTTTTCTACAGGGATTTGAAATGGTGCCCTGCATTTAACAAGTTAAAGACCTTGGTGCTTAGCAAATGGTTTCTGTCTACTGACCTCAGTGCACTGATTTGGTTCCTCCACCACACCCCTCTTCTGGAGAAGCTTACTCTTGAAATTCCAAAGGTGCTGTCATTAACTTTCTACTCTGTACCGTATATCTAGTCTTTATTTTGCTTTTGTTTATTAATTGATTAAATTATTCATTTCCTTCAGGAACACAAGTCCTTAATGGAAACAGAGGGAAGTTACAATGCATTGGAAAAATCGATTGCATCTAGCCATCTTCAGATTGTTGAAATCATATGCAAAGATGTTGATGGGATAGTACTCAAAGTTTTGAAGGTCTTGAATGCTAATGGCATACCACTAGGGAAAATCAGAATTCAGTGTTCAGGTTGTAAGTTATCTACTAATGGCATACCACTAGGGCATACCACTAGGGAAAATCATGATTCTTTTGTGCAGTTGTCCATACGTGTTACAAAACCAAGTGTCATCAGTAATCAAACTATGTCTGTTCTGATTTATCACAATTTGTGTTTTCGCATTTTGCTGTATAGTTGAGATTTACAATTTGTGTTCATTGTTAGACAAGAAATATCATCTGGAACTGTTGTGAATGCTCTTCCGCTGTCCATTTGGATCGAATTTGCTGCCATCAGAATTCATTGTTAGACTAGCACTATTATCTGGAACTGTTTCAAATGCTCTTCTGCCTCTATACAGTCCATTTTGATTGAATTTGCTGCCATCAGATCCTGCTTATACAATAAACATGTCAAACTCTGATTCTATATTGAAGATATGCTTCTCCTGATTTGTCTTGCCATTGTACTTACATTACATCCTGTGTGTGTGCCAGTTCATTATATTTGTGCACATATGCACTTCCTTAGGAACTCGACATATAAAAAACCACAACAAAATTATCTCAACATCATCTAGTTTTCTGATCTTCGAACTTGTAGGTCCAAGTTTGGCTCTTATTATTAGAGGCAACTTTCTGTATTTATGAAATACTTCCCATGTCTGAAAATTTTAAATTAATTTGTACAAAATCTTCTCTCCATGTTAATTGTTCTTTTCTGTTCCTTTATCTCTTACAGGTTATGATTTTGTGTGTACTAATATTAACTCCATGTAGAAGTGAGAAGTACCAGGCTGTTGATGACCCTAGTAGATTATTAAAGGTAAATGGAACATCGCAACATTTATGCAGTTGTGTTTTCTGACTTTGTCTGTAGGAACCAAATGCCCTGTTATGCCAGTGTACTTTACCTTGCATCACAAATTAGTTTCTTCTTTTTTGGCTAATGGCTCTGCAAGATAAACTTATCATGCCTTAATCGCCACATCAATCTTTCACTGTGTCGCCGTTCACTTTTGGGAACATCATTTTAAGTACCATACCATTCAAGTAAATTGATGCACCTCTGCAACTTTACAGTAACTAAGGATGCCACTGTGAAAGAATTTACCATATGGTCCCTTTCACCATTAATTATGGTGCCTTTTTATTTCTTCTAATGGTCATTGACATTGGTCTGCAGCAATCAGATATAAAGACTGCCAACATGGTGTACAATAGTGTCATTTTGTCCGTTTTTCCCTACAGTGGTCACAAAGCCATTGTAACCGGTCAGATAGACCTCTTCACTGCTCTGCTTTCATGACTGCCAGGAGACATGCCCTCCTCTCTTTATTGGTGGCTTTGATTTCCTTTCATATCTAGTTTCAGTTCAGTCAGCCTGTTTGCTAAGTAGAATCTCACCTAGTTGTTGCTTAATGCACTATGTGTAACATTATGCCTATAAGATGTTTGATCAGGGGATCATTACTTAATATATGAATCAATGTCAGTTAGTGTAATATCCATACATGCTTTCCACCATGTATGATTTTATCATGCCTATAATTCCTGGACAAAACTTTTTTTCCCAGTCAAACATGTTACTTTTATGTCTTGGATTTGGATTTCATAGACGTGCCACATAGAGATACTAAGCAACAAAGATATAGGATATGTGATCTACAGAGCAATGCATAATTTCATTATATACACCTACCAAATATTCCATCATTATTGGCATGTGCTCTATATAGTGGCACACCCAGCAGTAGCAAAGGAGCAATTAGATGGAAAACAAGAGCAAATGGCTAGAGTCAGAAAGGTGCTTACATTGCCTCAGTGGAATAGGAGGCCAGAGGGAAATGGCAAAAAACTTTAAGACTATTTTTGTGACGTTGACAATGAATAGAGCAGAATTGGATTTTTGAGCTACGAGATCCAAGGTGAGCAAGTAGATGGTGTAGTTAACAATATCAAGTGGAAAAATGATTAGATGGTGGAGATGATCGCTCACGCGTAATGAGCATGAGCTGATCATCATGGCTCATGTTAGGTAGTAACCAAATTAAGAACCCTTGTGAATCTCTGGCTTTGCTCCTAGCTGGCACATCTCAAATAGGGCAGCAACGAAGAGAACCCTAAATTTTGTGTGGTAAATTGGGAGAAATCTTACTAGTGAAACACATGTACACGATGGAAAAATGGTTATTTGAAGGAAAAAGGTGGGATGATACAAGATGAACAACTTTTTTTGGTTGAATCTGAATGTTTAGGGCCCCTTTTGAAACGCATGAAGAATTTCACATGAGTCATGTAAGAATTTCACATAAATTAGTTTATTTTCAGAGAAAAAAACATAGGAAACGGGATAAAAACCCTTATTGCTAAGAGAAAGTGAATTATCACACCTACTATAAGAAAAAAAACGACATATGAGCAGTGAATCACCTTCTTCGCCATTTTCAGACAGCTCTCTCATCAAAATTTTCAAGCAACACAAAAATTCTAAATAGGATCTGTGGTACCCTCGAAACTGTGCTGGAAATTAGGAATTAACCTAATCACAACCGAAGAACTACAAGGCTAATGCAGAAAATACTGAGATGTGCGGACATGCCAAAAGGAGTTCATTGATAGAAATGTTTACTGCATTCTACACCGATAGCAGTAACTAAGATTCACTCTGTTTTGTTAGGAAGTGAAGAAGCGATGTATTTTGTTCAGTATAAAATCAACCTATCAAGGAACAGTAGGAAAATTAGTGAATTTATGTAACTGATAAGCAAATAATTTGTTTTGGTTTCCAAACTGAATGATATGATACCCTTGCTTCAGTCCAATAGGTGACACTTCTCGTGGAGCGACACCATCAAAATGCTCTTTAGATTGAACTGTATAAACAGAAACTTGATGAGGCATGGCAGCATACACCCCATTGCTTTGATTTAAGCTCAAAGCACCATTTGGACTGAACAGCTCTATGGCACGATTACCATGGATCACTAGATCTAGACCAATGTTGAAACTGAAGTAGAACACAGTGCTTGAGAAGAAACCGCAGTAGAACAGTGTGACATGAAAAAATACAGCTCTGTTGAAAACTTCAGTAAACATTCCATCTCGCAACCATGTCTTTAGAATCTTAAGGGTTAGGACTTTGTTAGCATTGAGAAAGATTAGGATTGACTCACTAGAATTTTAGTGTGCCTATTTGGCACTTCAGCTATTTGTGTTCACTTAAATTGTTGATCCAGGGGAGAAGTGGAGTGTGAGAGGGCGGAATCCATGGCAGAGCTGGAAACAAGGCAGCGAGAGCAGATGAGGTGGAGGTGGCGCTAGGAGAACCGGAGGCAAGAGTTTGTGGCCAAGCAGCGGTGGCCTGTGTCGGGTTTGCTTGCCTGCGAACCATTTGATTGGAATGATTTGGTACCTACGGGCTCAGACCACTTAAAACCGAACTAATGAAACAACTGAAACCAACACTACACCACAGCCCCAGAATAGTGACGTACGGTCGGTCGGTATAGGTCGATATAGCGACGTTCCATCAGTCGGTATAGATCTATGCCGACACTTACTTGAAGACGCTGAAAGTGGCATCGGTATAGCCTATGCCGACAGACATGTTTTTAGCGACCGACTATCAGATGCCTTAGGGGCTATATATACCGACACATAGTTTGAGGCTATAAATACTTTTAGCAACTAACAGTCCGACGTGAACCATTCACACAGAGACAAAATATATGTTGCTAATCAATACATAATGACCCCACAATTGTATGTTATCAATGCACAAACATTCATTACAGTATACATTAACCATGCAAACATGGACATTGATTAATATGAGCATAATACATTGACACTGGTTCATTCATGCATACATGAAGTTTGTGCATGAGCAAGCCATCAGCACCTCTACCTCTGCGTAAAAAAAACACCTCTACCTCTACATCCTATCCTATTTCCTATGAACAAAAGTCATACATCCACCATTTGTTTCCAAAAGCCTAGCTCATTGACACCAAAAGCTCAATACTGAAATTTCACTAACAGTTTTTAGCAAATCTATGGCTTGCATGAAAATCCTTATTCTGTTTTGAATATCTCTTCTCTGCAAAAAGTTTGGGCATCTGTAGACGAAGCTTTTGTCTCCCCCTTTATCAGGAAGCAGGAAGGTAGTGTTCTGAAATAAAGCAAGTATATAAAATAAGCTATTGGAAAGCATAGGTTATAGACAGATAATACATTTCATTAATTTGATAAAAACAATGCTTGCACATGGATTGCTACTTCTCTACACAACCAACCCATAAGAATTAAGCAACATAGAACCAGAATTATCTCTTTTCAACGAACCCATAAGAATTCTGCCACTCCAAAGATTTGGGAGGCACCAAAGCAAATAGAGCATGTCATTACCAAAGTAATGTAGGATTCAGAGAGAAAAAAGGGATATTCACCTTTGTGCTATCAACATGTCCTTCTTGAGTGTACCTTCGTACTATAATGCAAGAACTACCAAACATGAGCTAAAATGATTTTTATAGAACAAGCAATGAGGGCTTTGGCATGGCAAGTGAGAGGGAGTCTACCCTGGCCATTGCTGATCTTCGTCTGAAGAAGAAACTAGTGGGCCTTGTGTGTCATCAAGAAGGTACTGAGTAATCTCCTAATGTGTTTCTTTGGTCAGCACCTCGTTGGTGGCCAATGCTGGATTACCTGAAGTGATCTGCTCTTTACTTGATGCCTTTACAGGCTAGCTTCACTAACCTGTATATAAACACCAAGAGGTCAAACAAATCCAACCAGATACACTTTTCATAGAAAAACAAACAAAAAGGTATGAACAAATGAAATAGCTGTAAAGTTCAAAGGAAAATAAGTTAATTGGATGCAGATAATAAAGTGTATTTGAAAGCTATGTCAGGTTAGTATTTGCAGTTAAGTTCCCATAGACAAACAAACAAACAAAAAATGAATATAAGCAAATAGCCAAAGACCCAGGGTTAATAAGTTACACATGCAGGGAGTTTAAAGTTATTCGAGCCAAGTCGTTACTAAAATATGCTTTCTGAAATATATCTTATAGAGCCCAAGCTAAGTAAATTGCTGCAGTTAACTTCCCATTGGATGCTGTATTTGCATCATAGAATCAAAAAGTTTTTCATTGTTCTTGGCTAAGTAAATTTCTGAAAGTACACTGACAACAGAATAACTGATGGCAAATGACGTCATTAATATCAACAGAAACTTAGAGTTTGATTCCTAATTCCTACACATTTACAGTGGTATTTTCTCAGTCATATGAAAAACCGAGCTGACTGGGATATGTGTTATGGCTGCCCGCCCTACACAACCATTCGGTCTACCAGCGGTAGTAAATTGAGCGAGTTTTTCCCCAACTACCCACAACACAGTTGCATCACCATTCCACTTCTCCATCTTCAAGGTTGGTGCATTGTTCCTCTCTCCCAGTTTATGTGAACCATTGCATGCCTCGCGTAGCGCCACCGCCACCTCACGCACGGTCGGCGCATTGTTCCTCTCGCAATTTGTGTGAACCATTGCACGCCTCGCGCCGCGCCGCTGCTAGATCCAAAGGCAAGGGTAATTCTTTCGCACTGCACTGATGGATCTTTCTCGGATTATTTTCCTCTTTAGTGATCTCATTACTAAGGAAGCTCTCATCCTACTGCACAATGACGATCGTAGGCTCTTCGAAATGGAGGCAGCCCCAAACAATAGGAACGCACAGGCTAGCCTCACAGAGGATGTTGTTCTAGAGATCCTCCGCCGCCTCCCCGCCCGCTCCTTGTTGTGCTGCAAAAGTGTCTGTCGCTCCTGAAATCGCCTCATCTCCAACAACCGTAAGGTGCTGCCCCAGACTATGGCCGGCTTCTTCTACGACGGCGAGAAAGGCAAGAAGGACAGCTGGAGGCATCGTGGTGGTCGACAGGGTCCACAAGCACCGCACAAGCAGAAGACTACCGGCAAGCTCAACCATGCTAGTTTTGACAAGATAGTCAAGTTGCCGTGCCGCAACCACGGCTACTCGGTCAAACACACCCTTGAAAAGTGCGACCTCATCAAACGTTATTTCAAGGGCGACTACAAGGCAACCGACATGGGCACGCCGTCTAGATTCGCCGACGAAGAGGGAAAGAGGGATGCGTATCTTGACCCAAAATGGTGCCTCATAATCAATGGTGGGCCGACGACGCACGAGTCCAAACGTCGGCAAAAGCTCACGAACAGGGAGGTCAACGTTGCCACCCTGGGCGACGCCATCCCGGCTTTCCTGAAATGGTCGGAGACTGC